AAGAATGTAAATTAAGTTGGAAAAAAAAGTTTCAGAAAAAAAATACCTATTGGATGACTGCAGTATGCTATATAGCGCCAGCTAGGTACTACCTTATAGGATGTTCATTCTACTCACTGAAGTTTATGCCTAAATTTGGACTTGTGTTCATAGAAATGTATATATCAGCTATGTTTGCTATGAAAATATTTAGATTAATTAAGATCTTTAGTGACTCAATAAAATGTGAGGTGAAAACAGTATAGAAAGCAAACATCGATACCAGAGACAGTGTGAGAGGAGAGTGGGAGATGGCAGAGGGTAAGAGATAGGGAATCAAGGATGAGGGAAAAAAAGCAAAACATAGGAAACAAGCAATGGAAAATTATTTGTGGGCAATAACATGTACACTGATGTGCTTGATTAAGCCAATATATAGTATACTCTGGATGGAAAATCTCATTTTGTATGTTGTAATGATGTACAGTGAATGAATGTAAATAAATAAATTTAAATGAAAAAAGACAGAGAGATAAACAAGGAATGGTTCCCGCTCTTGAGGATATTACTATATAGTAAAGAATGCTGACATTATAATAGATCATTTATAATATCCACTGGTAAGTGTATAACAGGATGTTATAGTATTAAATGTTATATGTTATAGTATTAAATATGCAAAACTACATTTTTGGTAAATTATTAAAACAAATAAATACAATTATATCATCCTAAATTACCATGGGTTGGCACCTTAACATAATCTTAGTGGTTTAATGGTACATGTGACTTGATTTTGTTGTAATTGTTTTTTCATGGAAAATGTAATGATGATGGTAATAAAAATACCACCAAACTACCACCACTCAGAATAACTTCTGTGATATCAAGATAGTGTCTAACAATTCTATGAAACAAGTATCTAGTAAATCACACTAGAAATGTGATACATGAAACATGAAACATAATAGAACACAGTAATATCTGCCCCTAGACTAAGCTTCCCGAAGGGATGCATCATATTTTTTCATCTCTATGTTCCTAACACTTAACATAAATCAAAGTTCAAAGAAGGTGCTTTAAAAATATTGTTTAGTGGGGCCAGCAGGTGGCATTGTTGTCAAGGTGCTAGACTCCCACATGGCCAACCACAGTTTGGGTCCTGGACCTAGCATCTTGAAATTTCAACTGGGTATATGTGCATGCACGCCCAAATTCCCAAGGTGATTTCTTACTTTCCCTCTCCCAGTTTCTCCCTGTATCTCTGGTGAGTGCACATGCTATATGGAAAACATCTTTAAAAAAATTATTGAGTGATTTTCCTATAGACACAACTGGTATATAAAATCATTTACTCAATTTTAGTCTTTTAAGTTAATATTCAACTTCATTTGCTACTTCTTTTCAGAAATACTTTACCAAAAGTATTCACAATTCAGCTCAAATTTATAAAAAGTACTGCTCTCAGTAAAAGGAGAAGGGGGAAGAAAGATATAAGATTTAAGACCAAAAATGATTAATAAAAACGTGAGATATACTTTCAGAATTTTTTCCTGATTGGGGATAAAAAAGTAGGAAGATGCTGTGGCCCAGAACTTCAGAATATTCAAGATGTTCTAGCCACAACAATGAGAAAGGGTTGAGTGGGAAAAGGAGCAATAGTGAGGGAATTTTTGGTAGCAGAGGGAAGTAGTTATCCACATGTTTAAATATTGCTTTCTCTGTAACAGAAAGAATAAGTGAAGATTCAGAACTGGAGGAAATTAAATTACAGAGGGGAAGAGAGTGGTTACAGTGAGATACAAGTGCATTTATATCTACTTCAGTGCCTTTTTTTTTCTCTTTTTTTTTTTTTTTGACAGGTTTTCACTATAGGGCGCGTGCGCACGCCAGACAGACAGAGAGACAGAAAGCGAGAAATCACCCCCCAGGGGGGATGGTCACGCCGCAATTCTCCTCTCGGGATCTTGGGCACGCACACACATGCGCCCAGCGTGAGTTCTAAGCCACCGGGTCCCAGATGCAAACTGCGGTCGACTATGTGGGAGTCCAACGACATAGCCATTACACTAACTGCTGGTTCCCCTTGTACAAGTTTTGAAAAGCTCTTAGTTACAAGGTCAAGGTAAAATCAGTAGAAATATATACATGATATTTTAGTAACTTTTATTCATTTATATTTAGAAAGGGCTGCAAATGAATGGTTCACTATTTTTTTTTTTTAGGGGTAGAAGAGGCATATGAAGCAGAAAAATATATAATACATATTATATATGTATAATATATATTGTAGTGTATATGCGGGGAGAGACAGAAAACAGGCAAAGAGCTGACAGAATAGTTTTGTCAACCACCTTTACAGCAATCGTCCTGCAAGATAATAGGCCATTTCCTCCGTGAAAAGAAACTGGCTTTGTCTATTAAGAGAAATGAAATTTAATATAAAAATATAAATGTATTTACTATAGGAGTTAGGTAGACAGGCTGCCTAAATGCCTTAAATCTAAAAATGAACAATCATCTTTCATTGATGTATACATCAGTGTCCTTTTGTATACTAATTCATTAAAAAGTGTTATTTAATTAAGTGAGCTGAATGCTGACCATGAACAGTCTACTTTAGCAATTTTTTCTTTAGCAGTGAAAAAACAGGAATCTTAGGGTATATAAATCAAAGAACACAACACTATATATTATAAATGATAAACAATGTAGAGCTTATATAAGAGTTTATCACTATACCAACAGAGAAGAAAAGACCAAACATACCCAAGTTATCACAATCAAGGTCATATGTGGTACTAGCTTTTTGGAGGACATCTATTTGACTTTCTCCTGCATCATTTTTCATTGATTTTTGTATGTCTGGGACAAATCTTCCAGTTTTCTGTTTAGGTCTGGACTTTTCCTTGTTCTTTTCACCATTCCTATAAACAATTATATTATTTTTCCTGTAATATTGGTTCTCAAAGAAAAAAAAAGAATCCAAATCTACAAACAAACAAATGAAATCCTTTCAGGGAAAGCTTTTCTCTCCCCAGGTAAGAGTACTTTTAATATTTTTAATCCTTCATGACTTTCAGTCCTTTCTCCATAAAAACCTCAAGTCAAAGGACTCAAATTTAACCTAAACATATTGTAATCTAGGCTCTTTTAATTCTTATATATGTTGACTATAAGAAAGCTAAGGGACAAATCCTGCCATTTGCTGAAATATAAATATACTCATTTATTTATACACTTTCTACTGCTGCTTTTTTGTTTCAAAGGCAGAGCTGAGTCAGTGCAATAGTGACAACATACCCGCAAAAAACACTATTTTAACCTGCACAGAAAAAAACTTGCTAGCCTCTGCTCTAAGTATTGTGATTAAATTTGAGCTCTGTATTCTCTACCTCCTAAAAGATAAGAATTTTTCAAATTCTTCTTGTTTCCTCAGTGTTAACCACAATTTGTTAAGTAGCTGATACTCAATGACAGAGAGCATGAATGAAAGAGAAAACACCAAGAAATTCGGATTACTATTTAACAGATCTGACTCCTGAAGTGTAGGTGATCGAGGCTAACTCTAAAATAATGTGAAACGCTTTGGCCTAGCCATCATGGCACAGTTGTACACCACTTTCCAATGCTGGAAGTCATATAAAAGTAAAGAGTATTAGTTCTCAGGTCTGCCTGCACATCCTTTGCATGTATGTACCCATGATCCTAACTTGCTGGAAGGGCTGGGGGAGGATCATGATGCAAGGCCCTGTTGAGGGTGCTTATTTTTCCCTTTCTCTGTGTCTCTCATGAAAGAAAGAAATAAACTTTAAAAAAAAAATTATTTTCCTTTTTGATTTACCCAATGTGACAGAAACTTTAGTAAAGTGTTATTGTTTCTGAAATTCTTCTAAGATCACAGAAAGCTTCAAAACTGGTAGTTCCCAGGACCAGCAGTTAGCGTAATGGCTATGTCGCTGGATTCCCATGTTGTCGACGGCGGTTCGTGTCCTGGACCCGCTGGCTTAAAATTCACACCGGGCACGTGTGTGTGCGTGCCCAAGATCCTAAGAGGAGAACGGAGGAGAAGGGATTGCGGCATGGCCATCCCCCCTGGGGGGTGATTCCTCGCTTTTTATCTGTCTCTCTGTCTGGTGAGCGCACACGCCCTATAGCAAAAATAAAAAATAAATAAATAAAACAAAAACTGGTAATTCCCACCAATCCGTCAAGTTAAAAAAAGAAAAAATAAATAAAACCACTTTACACTGCCCAAATGAATATATACATTTATAAAAACTCATTAAATTTTATACATAAAACTGATACATTATATTAAATGTAAATTATAGTTCAATTAATCTTTAAAAACTTAATACGTTACCTTAATTGTTCTAGAAAATTATCAACGTATTCCTTCCAATTTTTTGGAAATCCAAACATAAATTTCCTTATGAGAAAACAGGGATATCCTATTTAAGGATGATAAACAAACAAAAAATTATCTAAAAGTCTAAGACTTTAAAAAGATATGTATTAGTTTGTTCAAGATATTATGTATTAGTTTGTTCAGTGTACCAGCTCGGTCATACATATTAAGAATTTGGTAGTTAACAAAGCAGACAAAAATCCCTGCTCTCATGGAACATGCCTTCTATTGTAAAAGAGAAAGCAAATCAGTAAGTAAAATATCTTGTCTATCAGATGGTTAAGCAGAGAGGACAGATCGGGATCCCTATATGCTCATGTGGGAGTAGAAGGGTGGATAAGAATTTTAAAAAGGATTGTCAGGGAAGTACTTACTAAAATAGTCATTTGAACAAAGTCCTGAAGATCACAAGGGAGTAAGTCAAGTGGCAACATGGGGTTAGAATTCTGGAAGTAGAGGGAAGAGAAGTTGAAGGGCTATAAGGAAGAGTATTCCTGACCTGTTAGTGGAATTTCTGTAGTTAAGAAATTAGTAAGCGATTAGTGTAATTGAAGTGGCATGAGGAGAAGTTAGCACCAGCAGGCTGCTCAGATAGATAATAAAAGCAGAGGGAGAGCATGGGAGATTATAAGATCTTGGGGTCATTTTACATATCTGGCCATTAACTCTGGGCAAGATGAGAAGCTATGGAAAGATTCTGATTGAGGGAGCTATAGGGTCATATTTTTTTATATTTTTAAAGTTGCTACAGGGTGCATGTACATGGAAAGACAAAGAGAAAAACAGGAAGGCAAAGTGAGAAAGTACCCCTGAAGAAAAGATGTCCATAACTCCATCCTTTCTCCTTCATTCTTCTCTCAGGATTTTGGGCATGCACACACATGTCTGGCATGTTTTTTAAGCTGCCAGGTCTGAAACTTGAACCACAGTCAGTCGGGATCCCTATATGCTCATGTGGGAGTAGAAGGGTGGATAAGAATTTTAAAAAGGATTGTCAGGGAAGTACTTACTAAAATAGTCATTTGAACAAAGTCCTGAAGATCACAAGGGAGTAAGTCAAGTGGCAACATGGGGTTAGAATTCTGGAAGTAGAGGGAAGAGAAGTTGAAGGGCTATAAGGAAGAGTATTCCTGACCTGTTAGTGGAATTTCTGTAGTTAAGAAATTAGTAAGCGATTAGTGTAATTGAAGTGGCATGAGGAGAAGTTAGCACCAGCAGGCTGCTCAGATAGATAATAAAAGCAGAGGGAGAGCATGGGAGATTATAAGATCTTGGGGTCATTTTACATATCTGGCCATTAACTCTGGGCAAGATGAGAAGCTATGGAAAGATTCTGATTGAGGGAGCTATAGGGTCATATTTTTTTATATTTTTAAAGTTGCTACAGGGTGCATGTACATGGAAAGACAAAGAGAAAAACAGGAAGGCAAAGTGAGAAAGTACCCCTGAAGAAAAGATGTCCATAACTCCATCCTTTCTCCTTCATTCTTCTCTCAGGATTTTGGGCATGCACACACATGTCTGGCATGTTTTTTAAGCTGCCAGGTCTGAAACTTGAACCACAGTCAGCCACCTTAACCACCACATCACTGGCTGCCCCTAATAAGTGACTAATTTTAACAGGACCATATAACATGCTATTTTCAGAAGAGTCTGTGAAAGTGCAAGGACACGAAGAATGAGACTAGTTAGGTGGCCACTATAACTATCTAGACAAAGATGAGGGAGGTCTAGACCACAGTGGTGCAACAAGGGTCCAGGTTTTAGACATATTTTGGAGAAAATGCTGATAGGATATATTGATATACAGCATGTGAGTATGAGAGAAACTGAGGATTTAAGAATGCCTCCGGGGATTTTGGCTAGCCACTGGATGCATGGGAAAATGGGGAAGACTGTAGGCCAAACAAATTTAAGGAAGATCAGGTTTTAGACATATTAAGGACATCATAAAGATAATATTTAAGGCCTGGAATCAGCACACCACTGAGTGTAAAAAGAGTCCCCAAATTACCTCATTATTGAGAGACAAAGAAGAATGAGAGAAATAAATATGAAATCTAAGAAGGAACAGGCAAATGAAGCAACATGAACTTGAAATATGGTATTCCAGGGGTCAAATTTAAGAAAGCATGTCAAGGAGGTAGCTGTAATTAACTCTGGTAAGTGTATACTAGATTTACTGATGTATAGCTCCCTAGTGACTGGTATGATTTTTGATATGGGATGTTTTGGTGAAGAATTGAGAGCATGATTCAAGAGGGTTCAGGAAATAGAATGCAAAAGAAATTAGGTACAGTTAAGTACAGACCAATCTTCTGAATTTTTTTGTTATGAATCAGAATGACAGTGGCTGAAAGGATTGTGGTTATAAGAAGGGCTTTTTATGAAACAGGAGAAGGGAGAATTACTGGAGTGACGTCCCTGACTAAAAAGAGGAAATGGGAGCTAGCGTACAAAGAGGCTGACACAGACAGGAACGTGTATAGTTCGCCTATGATCAATATAGGCACAGATGTAAGCAAGTATGTATATGTAGTAGAGAAATTATCTTCTTATCATTCCTATTGCTCAGGTGCTCTCCTCTCTCCCCTGCTCTCTCACCAGAAAAGGAGTGGGAGAAGTAGTATTACATTTTTTTAAATTATGAAATAGTTATCAGGAAAGACACCACAGTGAGTGAATTAGGAAAATACTATAGGATGCCAGGCAGCAGCAAGGGACCAGTAAGGGAATATAACATATTGCTGATAATCATAAATTTCAAGTAGACTACTTGGTAATGTTTTTCATTCATTCTAGCTATATTCACCTGTGTGTAAGGCACAAATTGAAAATTAGATTATAGCAGAATTGAGGTTGTACTGAACAGGTTCAACAAAAAGAGGAACTAGAGGGACCAGCAGTTGGTGTAATGGCTCTATCGTTGGACTCCCATGTAGTCGACTGCAGTTTGAGTCCTGGACCCCATGGCTTAAACTTACACCAGGCGCGTGTGCATGTGTGCCCAAGATCCCGAGAAGAGAATGGAGGAGAAGGGATTGTGGCATGGCCATTCCCCCTGGGGGGTGATTTCTCGCTCTGTCTCTCTGTCTTTCTGCTGAGTGCATGTGCCCTATAGCAAAAACCTCTCCAAAAAACAACAAAAAAGAGGAACTAGAGAGTTATATTCTTACAAACCAATTTCTTATAAATAAAGAGTATTTCACTTACCTTTTAATCCTAGAACTTATTTAAATTGCCAATAAGAGTGATCAAATCAATAAAAATGATCAACTCATACAAGTTTTATATAATGGGATCAGTTCTGTTTTAATTTTTAGCTTAGATTTATTCATAATTTTAAAATAACTAATTAAAAATTTTTTTTTAATGTATATTATTGTTTTTGTTTTACTTAGTAAAACAATTTATCCATTAATAATGGTAGTCATAGGGCTAGCAGGTAACATGGTGGTTAATGTGCTGGACTCCCATATGGCCAGCCACGAGTGTCCCAAATCTGGTGGCTTGCTTTTTCACTTTCTTTCTCTGTCTCTATCTCTCTCTCTGGTGAGTACATGTTCCCTCTAGCAAACTAAAATAATAATAATAAAAAAATTAAATAAATAGGGGTCCAGCAGGCGGAGTGATGGTTAAGGTGCTGGACACTCCCACACGGCTGACCACAGTTCAAGTCACAGACCTGGTAACTTGCTTTCCTACTTTCTCTGTCTCTGTCTTTGGTCAAAAAAAAAAAAAAAAAAAAAACTTGTTTCTTTCTTTGGTAAAAAAAAAAAAAAAAAAAAAAAAAAGAATAAATAAAATTAAATGAATAATTCTTTTTTAAAAAGTAAATCATTCTTTTAAAAAATAATAACATTAATAATAACAATAATAATAAAATAATGATAGTCATTTACCTGCTTCTTTCATGGCAATCCGGTCTATCATTCCTTTTAATATGTAGATGTTGCCTGATAAAGTCCTAAGTTTGTTGTGCTGAATCCGTTCTACAATTACATTGCTGTGCCAATATATGTTAGTGATGTCTCTAAGAGGAAAAAAATAGCCTGATTAAGGCCAAAAGAGTCACATTTTAAAGTAGTCACAATGTATATATAAAAGCATACAAATTTAAAACAGAAAGTAATGATGTTGCACTCTAGTTACAGCAATACTAACACTATTGTTAATCTCACTACAAAACATTTGAGAACCAAACACTGAAACAGAATTTAGGAGGCTAACGTGATCCTTAGGATATGTGCCAAAAACTGTACTGTGGCCAAACCAAACCTCTATTATAAAATACGGCAATAGCAAGGAAGAGAGAAGTCTTCTCCAAATGTCTGAAGCTGGCAACACTTCAGCTTAATTGATGGAAAGCTTTCCAAAGAATGAGTTCCCTTATCCTTCTCCCTCAAGGTCTATACTATGTTAGCTTTCATACAGAAATGTAGATTGGATCCACCTAATATTAGTCTTTTTTCCCTCACTATATAGTAAAATGTTTTACCTTCCACTTTTGGAAAGTATCAAAAAGAGGTTCCTATTGGGAAAAAAACAAACTATAGCATCTTATAATTGACTCATATATCTATTCTTCATATTTCTTTAAGTGAAGCTAAGAATAAATATTAAAGAACAAAATATGAAGCTGTATTAAATAAATGTTGAATTTTCTTCCGTTCATCATGAACTAGTAACAATAAACATACTAATTTCAACAGAAGTGTAATAAACAAGGAAGTTAAATCCCTTTAATTTGGGCAGACGGAATTAAATTCATATATTAAATTCAATTATTTTATTTTAATACAATATTACTTCTCCTTTTCCATTCTTTTTTGCTTTATTTATTTTACTTAACAAACATTAAGTAACACTCTAAAAGCACTATTCTTTAGTCTTAAAAATATTAACTCATTTAATCTTCAAAACAACCCACAGGGTAACTAACATTAGTATCCTCATTGCACAGATGAAGACACTGATATGGAAAGAGGATAAGTAAGCAATATACATGGTAAGCAGCAGCAGTGGATTTACAACAAACACATCTACACTGCATCTTGGATATTAAGGACATGGGCACAAGGCAGGCGAATACAAAGTAGACAGTATAGTCTTATTACTGAACTTACTACTTCTTTTTTTTGGAGAGGTTTTCGCTATAGGGCGCGTGCGCTCACCAGACAGACAGAGACATAGAGACAGAAAGCGAGAAATCACCCCCCAGGGTAGATGGTCATGCCGCAATCCCTTCTCCTCCATTCTCCTCTTGGGATCTTGGGCATGCATGCACATGTGCCCGGCGTGAGTTTCAAGCCACCAGGTCTGGGCCGCGAACAGCGGTCAACTACGTGGGAGTCCAACGACATAGCCATTACGCTAACTGTTGGTTCCCATGAACTTACTACTTCTATGTGATATTTTACTACAACCTTTTATTAGAACTTTTCTTCACCACTAAGCAATAGTAGAATGAGAAATGGTGCTAACAGAGTAGAAGAATTAGGTAAAGTCCACTTACTTACCCAATGATGCTCTCACTTCATGGAAAATCAAAAAATGCTAATGATTAGTTAATATGTAGCTGCATGGCAAAATATTAAATAAGTTGATTCCTTTTCTGGATCAGTAATTTATATCTGGGTGTCCCATTTAAATTCAAGAACCTGGACTAAAATGTATGTTTTAAACATGAACTGTTCATATACAATGGAACACATGTATCAGTCCACTTATTATCACCTCGAAAAAAAGAAAGCACTATCCAAAGTTAAGCTGTCAAAATCCTGAAAATAACTGGAGGCCAATTCAAGGTGGGTAAGGTAGTGGAGCACTGCTGTGCAAAACGGGAGCCACATGGGAGGATTGCAGCATGGTGGGATCTTGTAAAGGGTTGGGGTTGAGGTCTCTCCTCCATCCCCCAAGAAATAAACAAATGAAGAAAAAAAAAATCATTATCAGTAAACAAAATAAGAAAGCTGGTAATATCATGCCTAGGACTAACAGTTATTTTATTTTTCTGCATTCAGTTTATAAGCTTGTAAGAAAGTATTTTGTTGGAAGGTTGTATTGCTCATGCTTCACCTTTAAACTTAAACACAACTATCTTCTTCAATTTTGTGAAAATATTAAAATGTTATACTTACGTCAATTTTCCTTCTACACATATAGCAGTATTATCATTGATTATTTTAATCATCCAATCTTGTAGTTGGACTACCTAATTAGGTAGAAAACAAAGAACACACTCCCTATATTACTTGCAGTATAAGCATTACAAAATTATCTTGCATAACTTAAGAGAGTAAACTAATCTAAGCAAGCCAAATGATTTCTTACTGCCCATTTTTATGAGTTGCATATTTTTTAAGAGAGATTTTTGCTATAGGGTGGATGTGCTGGCTGGAGACATAGAGAGACAGAGAGAAACTGAGAAATCACTCTCCAGGGAGGATGGCCACACCACAATCCTTTCTTCTCTATTCTTCTCTTGGGATTTTAGGCACGTACACACGTGACTGGTATGTTTCAAGCTGCTGGATCTGAGACTTGAACTGCAGTTAACCATGTGGGAGTCCAGAGCCTTAACCACTATGTCAACTGCTGGCCTCCATGTCATATTTTGTAAAGAATTATTTATTTACATTATTATTGTTGTTGAATTTGTTATAGGGCATGTGCGCTCACCAGAAAGAGACAGAGGGAAAGTAAGAGAGCAAATTGCCAGGTCTGGAACTTGAACCACCGTCGGCCATGTGGGAGTCCAGTGCCTTCACTGCAATACAGTATTGCAATGGGCAATACTGTAAGCCCACTAAAGATTTACTGTCAAATCTACAATGAGATTAATCAGTATGGCGATGTGTTTTGCCCCAACCATATTGAGCTCTCAGGCAGAGATAAATATATATGGATTAAATTTAACCAGGATTAGAATTTTACCAGCACAGGACAGAGAGGAAAAAAATAAAGTTGGAGTTTTAACCTATAATCGCTATAATGATGGACCATGAAGTTATGGAAGTTAAAGAGGGAAATGAAGACGTGATTGGGTGATGGACTGAACGCTTGGTTGTATCAAATACTGATAGTGAGGAGTGTGGAAAGAACAGGAGAAAGTGTAATAATCTGAAACAGTAGTTGGCAGTGAGAGTAGGATGTTCGAAAGTGAGAATCAGTGCAAGTACTAGTGATGACAGGTGTAGGTATGGCTAGTGGAGAGAATAAAAGTAGGAGGAAGTTATTTAAATCAAGAAATCAGGGTAGTATGGATCATTTATACAGATGTTGATGTCATTAGAGATGATGACAGAAGTAGCAGCACAGGAAAATTTTCATGGTGTGAAATATATCAATAGAAATGCAAGAGCACAACTAGAAGGTTGTAAAAGTAAACTTTTAAAAATCTGTAAAAAAAAAAAAAAGAAAATTAGAGTATTTTGGTGTCAAAAAAAATTGAAATTCATGCATAATCTTTTTATCATATGTATTTTCCATGAACTTTTTAAAGAATCCTTGTATTATAGGTGAAAACAACAAGGGACAGGGAGTGTAAATTCCTCTGCTATGAGCTACAAAGAGAGAAGGAAAAACTACTTGAAACAGCAAGGAGGAGCAAGACACCCCTTAATCATCTTGGGGTCCAATGGAATCAGAGAGATGGGAGAGAAAGATCACTTCAAAGGATTGTTTGTAGAAGTCATTATTTCAGTGACAATAAGATTAAGAAGTGTTCACAGAAAACTGAGAATATAACATTTTGCAAATGATATGCATCGAGTTCAAGAGGGTGCAACGTAGTTTGGAGAGCAGGTAATAAGTAAGGAATTGGATCAGAATTATAGGATGTTAGCTAAACAGGGATAAGAGTCCTAGCAGGCTTGAACTTCTTGTGGCAACTGAGATAAAAAGAACTATAGAGATTATGGAATTAGTATTATGAGAATGTTGTTTTCAAACTTTGTTGGTCAACCCACCTCACAAATTTTTTTAAAAAGATTAATTTTATTTAACTTTATTTGGCCAGAGTGAGAGAGAGAAGAGAGAAAGTGAGAAAGTAAGCCACCAGGTCCAGGACTCAAACCACAGTCCACCATGCCACCTGCTGGCCTCCTACCTCACACATTTTAAAGTTAACATCTAAAACTTTGGGTCAAAAGTATAAATAGTTGCAAACAGTGCAGTTTCTAGTGAAGACACTGAGGTATAAAACTGTCTCTCTCTACAATTTAGATAGAGGGCTGGCCTCACAGCACAACAGTTAAGCACTGCACAACTATATCCCACACAGCAGACCAGGGTTAGCATTCCAGTCACAATGGCATGAAAACTTTCCAGGTGAGCCTATGCATGTCCAGACTGATAGGATGGAGAAATGGGAAGAAAAAGGATTTTAGCATAACCAGGTCCTGTTGAAAGATGCATTCTCTCTATTTCTGGTGCCTACATGTGTGCCCTCTGGCATTAAAAACAAAATTAAATACAATTTAAATACCAGCTCTTAATTTAATACCCACGATCATCCATTTAAAAATTGGCAAAATTTTAACATTTGAAAATTTTATACTGTATCTTTCTCCTTGAACTTGTACATCCATTCCATTTCCTTCAGAGAATTTATCCTAATGTAGTTTAACACCCTAAAGTATTTTTTGTTGTCCTTGTTGTTTTAAAGAGGTTTTTGCCATAGGGCATGTATGCTGAAGAGACAGAGACAGTCAGAGTGAAAGAGAAATCACCCCCCTGGGGAGATGGCCATGCCACAATCCCTTCTCCTCCATTCTTCCCCCACCCCTGCGTCTTGGGCACACATCCATATGCTCTTGGTGTGATTTTAAAGCCACTGGGTCCAGGACTTGAACCGTGGTTGGTCATGTAGGTGTCCAGTGATGTAACCGTTATGCTATCTGCTGGTCCCCACTCTAAAGTCTTTTTATTGATCATGGTTTTACTTTACTTTGGAAAAATTCTCAGCTTTTCAGAAGCTATGATTCCTTTCTATCTGAACTGCTCTGTTAATAGTACCCCAAAAATTGAAGAAAAAATTTAAGAGTTAGAATGAATTATTCATCCCCAAAGGGAGAAAGTAAATTATTGAAGCTCATACAATGAGTAATAGAGCAAGTTACAACTTGATATTTGGGTACTTCTCTTTCCAGCCCAGAGTTCTTTTCTCTAGGCCACACAGTTTCTACAGGAATAATAATCAAGCATGAAAATGAATCTATTGTTAATAATGACTGCATAAGAGTACAAGATTTTTTGTGTGTGTGTGTATGAGGTTTTTGCTATAGGGCCCATGAGCTCACCAGAGAGACAATAAGCATGAAATCAGTCCCCCAAAGCCACATTGCATTCCCCTTTCTTCTCAGAATTTTGGGTACATACTCATGCACCCAGCATGAGTTTCAAGCCACTGGGTCTGCAACTTGAACCACAGTTGGCCCATGTGGGAGTCCAGGGATATAACCATTATACCATTTGCTGGTCCCAGAGCTCAAGTTCTTAAAGAAAGGAAGTATAAAGAGAAATTAATATCTGTATTAAAGTATGGAAATTTGTGTACCTTATTTTTTTTAACTTCATTTGTAACCGTTTGAAATATACTTGGAGGTGAAAGCTTTGAAACATTTCTTTTTGACCTCCGAGGTATTGCTATATGAAATCTTGGAGTTGCAAGAACTATTTTACACGTATCTCTCATGGAACCTAGAACAGTCTCTCTCGGCACCATTTTTTCACTTTCTTGCTTAACTTCCTGTTGTGAAACCTCTCCTGTCGTATCATTATCAGTAACCATTAATTGACTGCCTTTTTCAATAGAAACACAGTTAGTATTCAGAGTCTCAACATTTTGGGATTTTTCATAGACAGAATCAATGCCTTCTAAAACAAATGTGTTCTTTTTGGACTTAGAGGTCACAAATGTATTCTTCTCTGCGTGAAGAATTTGTTTAGACAATTGAGCTCTAGTTAATGCCTTGTTTGAGACTCCTGGAGCTGAAAAATTTTCATGTTCTTGATTCGGAATTGAAAGTTCTGCAAAAAAAAAAAAAAAAACACAAAACAAAATTTATTGTGGGATCATAAGAAATTAAAGGATAAAAAAGTCAATTTAAAACTGTTTATATTAAAAATAGGTCTTCAGGGCTATCAGGTGGCATTGTGGTTAAGGGTGCTGGACTCCCACATGGCCAAATGCAGTTCAACTCCCAGAACTGGTGGCTTACTTTCTCACTTTTCCTCCCTCTCTCTGTCCCTCTCTGGCCAAATTAAAATAAAGGAATAAATAAAGTTAAATAAAGTAATTCTTTTTTTAAAAAAAAAGTCTTTAGATTAGGAATGCTCCACCCTCTTTCCCACTCTTTCTCTTAGTGCTTGTGGCCTTTACAATTCAAGGTTTATCTAGTCAATGCTTACTGCCCATAAAGAGAAAATAACCACCTAAAAGAAAAAAAATCTAACAATACGTTCAAGTAACAAATTTAAAACCAAACAAAACAAAAAAACGGTTTACCATAAGTTAAATTCTGTAAAGGTGCTTTCTTTTCCTGCTGGCACTGAATCTTTTGTTTGACAGGAAGCAAAATACTATTTGATGATTCTAGAGGCACTTCTTGCAATGAGGTTGATTTTTCTTTTTCTTTTTTTTTTAAGAAAGAGGTTGAATTGTATTAATCACCAAGAAGGGAAAAAAAAAAAAGTCATTTTAAATTCTTGAAATAAAGATCTTAGGTTCAGAGGTTCAGTAATATCAGACCACTACTACACAGCACACTTTTGCAATAAATGACAGTTACATAAAATTTTCCCTTTATTATCTTCTCATGCCTTCACTCCATTCTCTAGTCTACATCTATGTTCTGCTGAGGAAGAATTTTTTTAAAAACTTCTCTGGGAACCAGCAGTTAGCGTAATGGCTATGTCGCTGGACTCCCACATAGTCGACCGCGGTTCGCGTCCCAGACCCGGTGGCTTAAAACTCACGCTGGGCGCATGTGCGTGCGTGCCCAAGATCCTGAGAAGAGAATGGAGGAGAAGGGATTGCGGCATGACCATCCACACTGTGGGGTGATTTCTCACTTTCTGTCTCTCTATGTCTCTCTCTGTCTGTCACCCTATAGTGAAACCCTCTCAAAAAAAAAAAAATAAATAAAATAAAAACTTCTCTAAGATACAACTTGCCAGCTCAAAGGCATACTACTGGACTGAGAAGCTTCAAGATCTGGAATAAAAGCATACTACTAGATTGAGAAGTTTGGAGATCTGGAATAAAGTTCTGATGCTGCCAGAAATTGGATGTGTACATGTTAAGATTACAACAACGAGGGTGGGACAGCAGGTGGCACGGTAGTTAAGGTTGCTGTATTCCCACATGGCCAATAGTGGTTTGAGTCCCAGACTTGGTGGCTTGAAAATCATGCTGGATACATGTGCATGCATGCCCAAAATCCCACGAGGAGAAAGGAGAAAAAAGGATTGTGGTATGGCCATCGCCTCTGGGAGCTGATTTCTTGCTTTCTGACTTTCTATCTTTGTCTCTCTGGTAAGCTCAAATGCCCTATGACAAAAATCTCTCTTATAAAAAAAATAATATAACCAAAAACTTAGCAAGGCTCCCCTCCTTGATCATTTCTCTTTTAGTCTGTCTCATTTCAATTAAGTGACCTTGCTAGTTGCTCAAGTCAAAACCCAAACATTAAAAACAAAACATGACAAAACAACTTAAAAAAAAAAAAAAGAAAGAAAGAAAGAAAGAAAACACACAATATGGAGTTATCTGGAGGGTTTTTTTTTTTTTAATTTTAGATTTTTGCCATAGGGCATATATGCTAGCTAGAGACAGACAGAGAGAGAGAGGGAAAAATGGCCACACCACAATCTCTCCCTCCCCCCCCACCATTGTCCTCTCAAGATTTTAGGCATGCACACACATGCACCTAGCATTTTTTTTCCCAAGCTGCCTGGCCTGAGATTCAAACCACAGAGTTGGAGATGTGAAATCCAGCACCCTAATTACATGCAAACTGCTCACCCCTAGAGATATCTTTTATATCTTTTTTTCTGTCTTATATTCCACTTCCAATTATAAGCAAAGCCTATTGACTCTATCTTCAAGATAGTGTATATCCAGATTCTAATCACTTTTTTTTTTCTTTTGGAGAGGTTTTTGCTATAGGGCACGTGTGCTTGCCAGACAGGCAGAGAGACATAGAGACAGAAAGTGAGAAATCACCCCCCAGAGGGGATGGTCACGCCTCAATCCCTTCTCCTCCATTCTCCTCTCGGAATCTTGGACACGCACGCATACGCGCCCGGCATGAGTTTTAAGCCACCGGGTCCGGGATGCGAACCACAGCCGACTATGTGGGAGTCCAGCAACATAGCCATTACGCTAACTGCTGGTTCCCCAGATTCTAATCACTTCTTACCTTCATTGTCCACACCATTTATCTGCTTACTATATTAACTGTATTTCAAGTCAATAGCCAGAGTGACATTTTAAAAATGTCAGCCAAATCTTGTCATTTCCCTGCTCAAAACCCTCCAATGGCTCCTGATTTTCCTCACGGTAAAAGCCAAAACTCTCACATTTATCCATAAGGTCCTATATAAGCTGACCTGCTCTTCTTTATGTCCTCTTCCTCAGCTCTGTCTCCCTACTCTATGACACACTAACCTCATAGCTAGTCCTTACATCTGTATGGTATGCTCCTATTTCAGGACATTTGTGAGAGCTGTAATCTGCCTGGATCATCTTTCCTCATTCCCCAAGATATCTGTATCATTGCCTTCAATTTTGGGGGCTCAAATGCCATCCTCCTAATGAAGCTTACTCAGAACACCCTCTCCCCATTATTCTTACTCTGCTTTTCCTTTCACTGTACATAAACATTATTTATTTACTATATTAACTATCTCCCTACCGTGTGAATGTGAGGGCAGGGATTTTGTTCCATTTTGTTAACTGGTATATCTTGTACATCTAAAACAATGTTAAATACATTAAAAACGTATGACATTCTAAATTTTTAATAAATTATAATAAAACTCACCTCTTATTGAACTGTTATCTGATTGGAATGATTTGTTCTCCTTTTCTTCACAGAGGAAGGTATGTTGCAATAGTCTTTTATCAGCTCTGTTAGAAGTGAAGATTTTATTACTTTCATTTCTTGGTGGTTCCAATAAACTACTGTTTCTTGATGCTGATTCTTGCTTCTCACGCAGTACTTTTTCTTTCATTCTTTGAAATATTTTCCCTGGTGATTCATACTTAGCTTTATTTTTAAATCCATTCTTATTGGGTTTTATAGCACTGATATCAAGAAAACTGTTAGAGGTGGTAGCCCCTGTTAGCATGGTAGATTGAAGTATATTCTTATTGTTGAAAGTTGTCAATTTTAGGAACTGATTCTTTTTATGGTCACTCAATTCTAAAGAGTTCTGATATTTTACCAAATCTTTTATAGGAGTAAGTGTGCCTGAAGGAATGCTGTCAAAAAAGATCGCATCCATGGGCATATTTCTCCTTTGAAATGTTTCTGAAGACAAGTGAATTCCTGGACGTTTCAAAGGTGTTGTGATCATCTTGACAAGACAGCAGTAACAAAGTCTTCTAATAAAAAATTCACTGAAGCACAATCAGGATAGAACTTCAGCCAGGCCCAAAGAAACCTGTAGTTTAATGTGAAGTCAATCTTTATCATGCTTTGGTACAAAAACGTTTAAAGTTTATTTACTCTCAATAAGAACATTATACTAATTTTTTTTAAAAAGTTTAATTGCTTCATAACAACACTGGATAACCTGTAGCTCATGAATCAGACCAATACTTATTTTTTGTTAAAGTCTCATATTTCTTATTATGCAACAGATGAGAAGCTTGGTTTTAAAATTTGTTTCTCTACAAAGAAGGAGCATATACTCGAGCTGGCAGGTGACGTGGTGATTAAGGGCGCTTGATTTCCATATGGCTGAACATGGTTCAAGTCTCAGACCTGGTGGCTTGCTTCTCACTCTCTCTCTCTGTCCCTCTCTGGTCAAATTAAAATAAATAAAGTTAAATAAAATAATTAAAAACAAACAAAAACAAAGCAGCAGCATTTACCAAATAATAAACGTAATAGTTATTATATCTCTTTCTGAATTTTGAATGTTTCTGAAACTTACTTGTATCTCAAGTCTTGGCAGTTGCAATCTAGTATTTGCATCAAAAAGAATTAAATGACATGAACTGGCTCCACAGTGTAGAGGTAATGCACAGCTTGAAAGAAGACAGGTATCACATTGCAATCATGGTTTGAATCGCCAGCCCCAGTCAGCCTGCAACCTGCCAGGCACACACACTGGTACCCCAGATCCAATGAACTGGATGACTGGAGGAAGAGGATGAGCATGATCCACCCTAAGGAGGGTGCTCATATCTGCCTCTTTCTGTCATATATGTACGCACACACTCTACCATAAATTAAAAAAAAAAATGACATCTGATCATTTCATAATGTATTAGGTTTAAAAGATTGTGTTTCACAACTATGGCTTTTCTTTTTAGTCATTTAAATTTTAAGGCAGCAGCTACAATGATCTGTCCTAATTGAAACTGAAAACTCTATTCACTCATATAAATATGCCCCAATCCTATTTTATAATTCTCTACAGCATTTAAATTATCTTAGTTGAAAAAAACTCTCAAATAAAAAGGCTATTTATTCTAATTATTTAAAAATGTAATGCTATTTTGAATTTTAAGCAATCACAAACTTAAGCATAGTCTTTAAAAAAGAGAATTATTTTATTTAACTTTACTTATTAATATTATTTTCCAGTTTGACCAGAGAGAGACACACAGAGAGAGAGGGAAAGTGAGAAAATAAGCCACCTAGTCCAGGACTTGAACCATGGTCAGGTTTGAATCGCCAGCCCCAGTCAGCCTGCAACCTGCCAGGCACACACACTGGTACCCCAGATCCAATGAACTGGATGACTGGAGGAAGAGGATGAGCATGATCCACCCTAAGGAGGGTGCTCATATCTGCCTCTTTCTGTCATATATGTACGCACACACTCTACCATAAATTAAAAAAAAAAATGACATCTGATCATTTCATAATGTATTAGGTTTAAAAGATTGTGTTTCACAACTATGGCTTTTCTTTTTAGTCATTTAAATTTTAAGGCAGCAGCTACAATGATCTGTCCTAATTGAAACTGAAAACTCTATTCACTCATATAAATATGCCCCAATCCTATTTTATAATTCTCTACAGCATTTAAATTATCTTAGTTGAAAAAAACTCTCAAATAAAAAGGCTATTTATTCTAATTATTTAAAAATGTAATGCTATTTTGAATTTTAAGCAATCACAAACTTAAGCATAGTCTTTAAAAAAGAGAATTATTTTATTTAACTTTACTTATTAATATTATTTTCCAGTTTGACCAGAGAGAGACACACAGAGAGAGAGGGAAAGTGAGAAAATAAGCCACCTAGTCCAGGACTTGAACCATGGTCAGCCATGTGGGAGTCCAGCGCATTTAACCACCAAGCCATCTGCCAGCCCCAAACATACATAGTCTTAATGTTTGTTTTAACTTGTGTATTACACATAAATTTTACTTCTCACACTTAGAAATTAAGATTCTGGGTGAAGCATCACACAGTTGCATTCAGTCATACTTGATAAATAAGTAAAATATTTCAATCATAGAAGCCTGGGACTTACTAGTCTTAATGAACGTGTCTCTTACTGCTGAATTTGTTAAGCATTCCAATCAGTTTCTGATATCATATGAATGTAAAAAAGTCTAGCACAGAAAAAACTAATGTAGTCAGACCAAAAATCATCACAGAGGCCTAGACTATAGAGCAGCAATAAAATGCAAAGCTCTATGAGGCAATCTCATGTGGGAAGTTTCCTGATTCAAGTGCAGAGATATCTCTGAGTATGCCAAGTATATATCACCCATAATCTGAGGCTGGCTGAGGCCTGGGGGTGAATTGCTGTAAATCTGTTGTGGGTGTTGTGTCTGTCAGTCTCTCTATTGCTCATAGAAGAAATTAAATCCATTTAAGAAAAGGAATGGGGGAACCAGCAACTAGCATAATGGCTATGTCGCTGGACTCCCACGTAGTCGACTGTGGTTCACGTCCCGGACCGGGTGGCTTAAAACTCACACCGGGCGCGTGTGCGTGCGTGACCAAGATCCTGAGAGGAGAATGGAGGAGAAGGGATTGCGGCATGATCATCCCCCTGGGGGGTGATTTCTCGCTTTCTGTCTCTGTGTCTCTCTCTGTCTGACTGGTGAGTACACATGCCGTATAGTGAAAATCTCTCCAAAAAAAAAAAGAAAAGAAAAGGAATGGAAGACACAAATACCTGTGATCCAAATAAATGCAAATAAAAACATGATAACATTAAAAAAAATCCAATATTTTTATCATTGGTAACTTCTGTGAGAAACAAGTGAGTTAAAAACTCATACAAAGTACTATTTTAGCCAATAATTTATGATATAAGAGAAAAAAAGTAAAGACAATGTTCTTTAATAACAACATCTGACCAAAAAATGTTATCTTGGGGGTCTGGTCCTATAACACAAAACCACTGTTAATTCTTTCACAGAATGTAAACTCATCAGATAGATATTTATGTGTATATGTTTAACAATGTACTAGATGCCAGGAGTTATATAATACTGTGGGTTATAATACTCCCTAGCCAGTAAGTTACAGCGGTATAAATAAAAGTGTTACCATTCAAAAATGAAAATAAGTAAACTGGACAACTGCAGGGAAAAAAGGCAAAGTATGTTCAGGTTTACACAATTTCCATTCTTCAGATCATTCTAATGAATTATTCAGGAAGTAAAAACTGCAAATAAGCTAGTAGCACTGAAATGGGTATAATCTGTAACTGACATGCAGAACTGTTTTCACTTACAGGCAGGTAATTACCGTCACATTGAGAAGCTCCAAGAACCAACATAGAACTTGTTTCATATTCCCAAAACCCATCCCCTCTAATTCAAACAAATAGCAGGATAAAAGGAATGTAAGTAGTAAGGATTCTGAAAAGTCTTTAGATTGTACTCTTCCCCCCAAAAAAGACACAGAAAGTTCCTCCAGAAGCTCTTGTTTCCCATTAAATGATAAAAATAAAAGCTAAAAGAACTGCCAAAATTTGCAGTAAAGTCGATGGAAAAAAGGATGTAGAGATAAAAATGGCCTCAGATTTTGTCTGACCATAGAGGCTTTGCAGAGTAGAAGCAGAACAATAAACCATGGGAAGTAAAAAACTATCTGAAGCTCCATTCCCCTCTTCCTTAAACCAGGGAAACGGACAAAACTTATCATTAATGCTGAGCTTCTAATGACATGGAGGTTAAATAATGGAGATACAATCATTGGCATCACTCAAATTAGGGGGAAAAATAGTGTCCTTAAGCCTACACACACTTGACCTAACAAATGGAGAACACTAACAAGAAGTTGTTAGTTCCCTCTAAAACTGGAGGTGCATTCTAAAATAGTATGCTTCTGTTTTCATTAACTGCTTAAAGCTGTTTGGAAAACCTAATCTAAAAATTGACAAATGCTGATGTACCAGTAAAAAAGACCTATTCACTCAGGAATGGGAAAACCACTGTATGAAAGGGCTAAGTATTTACAGTATACAGTAAACAGAGAACCAGGGCTAAACAACCAGTATATAATATGAAATGTAACTGTGAATCTTCCTCCAAAAAGACATGCAAAGGTCTAGGAATTTACTAATAGTTACTATTATTATTATAATGGAATGGGATCAAAAATCCCAAGGCACATTAACTAAAACTGGGAAGTGGAGTTGGGGAGAAACGAGAGAATTTCAACAGGCAAATGACACACTTGAAGACATATGCAGCACATAAGACAAGACGCTCATGTACATTATCAGTAACATTCAGAGACGTAATAAATCATTTTTTTAAAAAAATTATCAACATAGACGTACACAATTTTTCTACCTACTAATTATTCTAACTTGTTTTTCACCCCCACAAGTGATTTTAGAACAAAAGACTCTCACCTTCGAAGTGAACCTGAGCCAGCCAGTGAGTTCTACTCTTTGAAATACTACTCCCCGAGTGAGTGCGCCCTCACCGCCAAAGTGAGCGGTCTGTACAAGGCTGCGTGGGCCGCGGAGGCTGGGGCGCGCACAGCCCGCGAGCACCTACCGCCAGAGCAAGGAGCAGGAAGATCGTACCTTGGAATGAAAGGGCGCGGCTGGGCCAGACTGCAGCGTCCTGGCTCTGCTTCCCACGAAGCAGAGCCGGTCACTCCAGGGCTCCGGCCTCGAAACCGCCTCAGCGCCCCACGCAGCGGCTGGATCCCTGGAAACCCTGACCTACTTCGGAAGAAGTTTCCTGTCGCCGACGAGACTGTGAAAATTCAAATTTGAAGTGCCCGCCCTCCACACAGCACGGGATTGGTAGTCTCAGGAATTGCGTCACCGGGCGCCTCCCAGGGACTGGAGAAAAGCGTCCACGGAGCAGCGTGGGCAAGGTCGGTCCACAAGAAGCGGGTGGCCTGCAGCTGCCACGGAGAGGGGGCATGCGCCCTCGAAGTCGTTCTTAGAGCTCGTTTCGTCTTCGCACGGCGCGTGCCGTCCCCCCGCCCTCTGTTCCGTCGCTCCTCCCATAATGCTCTGCGTCCGGAAGGCTCTAGTCAGACACCGCCAGAGCGCTCTGCCCGAGCCAGGGCCCTCGAATTTGGGCATTCTCGGCCACCCTCCTTCACTAAAACTGAGTTTGCTGTGCCCACTAGTGGGTTTTCCGTAGATTGCCGTCGTCTCTGAGGGAAATAAGCCTTCCGAATGGGGTTGAGGTGAACTTAAGTTTTCTCAGTCTACCATGCATCTGAGTCTGAGGAAGAACTTTTTTTTCTTGAGGGGACCATGGGCCGAGTGCAAAGTTACACATGCAATGGGATTAGTTTGACCCATTACCACAGGACTTGGTGTGTTCTTAACCTCGTCATTTGGGATTCTAAAAGCACGAATTTCAGCAACTCTAGGTTGCGATGCAGTTTGACAATGGTTTCGAATGAGCCCAGCCTTATCCTTGTACCCAGTGATGTTCTGCTCTCACCACCGCGAAATAATAGTGTATATTCTTCGCCTCAGCTCCCCGGCAGGCCACTGGTGAAAAAGTTGTGAAGGGCTCCGGTTTTCAGCCTGAGAAGTAGAGAAAGGGAAACCAGGGCAGGAACAAGTGTTTCCCCACCCTCAAACCCAGCCAACTCCAGTCTTGCTTTGTCTTCCCAGGAACTCTCCTTCCTCCCCCAAACAGCTTTTGGACAGCAAAGCTTTCCATGTTATGCTCCATCTAAGAAAATCACTTAACTTCTTAGAGCCGTATCGCATTTCTCCATTAAGATGTATAGTACTGGACTGAATAAAAGTTGTAATGGATTACTTTTTATAAGTGACTTTTGCAATCCCTTCTAAATTCTGTATCAAATTGTATGCATACTGGACATTTAAAATAAAAATGGAAAATATCCAAAATAACGCAAGCGAGGGGAAGAAACCAGCTGGAGGTGCGGAAATGGAAGCAAATCTACATGGACACAATAAAGTTTCTTATCCTTACAGCATAAGGAAAAAATGGCTGGATGTGGATTTGCACCGTTTGGGAAAAAATAGACTTAAAAATACAGGTTAAGTGGCATGTATGAAATAATCTAGGGAATAGAGAATCTTTGAAGAGACAGGTGTTCATCCCCCAAAGCATCTGATATCTATGAGAGGTTTCTATGCTTGATGATATGCTCTGGCTCACACTTTCCATCAAAATAGGAAGTCTAATGTTAAGCGCAGACACTCAATATTATAGAATTCTTTTTTTTTTTAATTAGTCACTTCATGTGAGAAGTAGACATATATCATGCTCCAGAG